AAGTAAAAAGAAATGGAATTCACTGGAATCATTTCAACCCCTCTTTCCACTTTATCATTGTAGAAACTAGTGATTAACTTTTTCGTAGTTATTTTATCATTCATTTTACGAAGTGTAATTTGGTCGGGATTATATTTTTCAAGACTCGGCCACTTCTTTTTGATTTGCCATTTGACTTTGTCAACGTGATGATCGTCGTCAACTTTAATGACACTAACGCTTTGAGCTGATGTGTCATTTTCTTCTAAAAAGACAAGACAACGTAAAGTGACTTCGGTAGAATTTGCTTCGTAGCATAGAAGAATTATAAAGTAAAAAAAAATAAAGTATCGCAAATAAACCATTTTTATGTAAAAAGATAAGAAAAATAGAAAAATATTTTTCAAAGTGTGATTAACAAATGTAGAAAAAAAGTTATTCGAAACTTCAATTTTTTAACGAATGTTATTAATTATTCAAAATGTTGACAGAAAAAAATGAGTTTATTTATATAATCAAAAACATGATAAATAATTATTATGATAATTATCATGAAAGAAAATCTATATAATTTCGGATTTCATTAAAGAAACATGAAAGAAAATCTAGAATTACGGATTTTTTTTTCCGATTTTCATAATACTCAGTCTTATGAACATTTATCATGAAAGAAACCTATTAACGGACTTTTTCCGATTTCATATTACACCGTATTAACATTTAATGCGTTCACGTCATGGGGTTCCCATATATAGTTGTAAGCAAAGAGATTATCATTTTGATCGCATCATTATGATTGTCATTTCGGGAATAATGGCTGGGATAGTGGGATTGCCCGATATCATGAAGCATGACATTAAAAATGAAAATTTCTAGAACTTTCGTCAATCTTTACCTCTATCAGAAATGATAAAAGTTAAATTTCAAATTTTTAATAATTAGTAAGCTATCGATGACGAAATACAGTAAAAAGAATTAAGGAATCAAAAATGATCGGCGGGTTTTTGGTTAAGAGGTGAACTAAATTAATAATTCATTTTATTTCTGCATAAAAATAAAAAAAAGTAAATAAAAATTTTTTGGCGTTTAAAAATCACAGAAATAAAATAAATAATATAATAAGTATAAAAAATATTTAGATATTTGAAGAATACAAAAAATAATTCAACTTCATTATTTATTACAGTCTTGTAATATAAAATTTCTTTTATTTTACAAGTATTTCGGTCATCGACGGAGATACTAGGTAAAGGAGTGAATTTACACTATAATAGTAATATATTATTCTACAAATTGAAGCGAGATAAGTCGTTTTAATGATACGAAACTTTGTTGGTTTTCCAAATTCAGTAAAATTAGAAATGTAAAATGCAAAACAAAAAAAAACAATCATTAATAAACGATTATGGGCGTTAATGAAAATACTATAGGAAAAATTATAGTCATATGTATGATGACAAATAAATTTCCCCATGTGATTTTGTGGCGTCTGAAATTTAATTAGCGCAATGTTTATTTCACGTATTTCTTAAGAAAAATCAAAAAAAAGTGTTGAAAAAAGTCAAAAAAAAAGAAAAACTGATATTTTCCTTTAACATATTAATCATTTTATTACTTTTACAATAAATACACTTGAAAATGACTCTTTTCACTTTATTAAATTTAATTATAATAAGCAATTAAATATTATAGTTAAGTACATTAAGTACATTATTGTAAAATATGCTAATTATTCCATAAATATTAAAGCTAATTTAATAAAAATCAAATATCTAACTAGTCCCACACCCGCTAATAATTTTACTTAATCTCCAAAGGCTTGTTTCATTTAACAATAGTATCAAAATCACGCTGTAAAGTGAAATAATCAACCGCGCGCGGCACAGTAATTTCCATAATTTCCATACAAAACCATTCATACTATTGCAAATATTAAAAGATATCTTAGGCCGGGCAAAAAAAAAAAATTTAGATTCTCGTGACCCGGCCGGTCAGTTTTTCGAAAAATGGGAATTTTTTTTTTATAGTAAAAAGTTTTATCACGTGATTTTAAGTTATTGGCCAATGTGGCGTAAAAAAATTTTTACATATAAAAAAATTTTACAAATATAAAAAAAAATGCCGCCGGCCGGGTCATTTTTAAAATTTTATGTCACGAGAATCTAAAAAATTTTTTTGCCCGGCCTTATATTTGAGCAGTTCCATACCTGCTAGACAACCTTGTTTAAGCCCATTACATTTAGCTAAAGTCCTGAAATTACACTAAAAATAAAAAAAAACAAATGCAACTCAGTAATTTCTTTTAAAAAACAACAAATATAATATACAACTTTCTTCAAGCACTCAAACCTTGTTTCAATTAGCTAAAATATTCAAATTAATATTACAAAATCTATAAAAAAACGCGTCTATTGTGAATAAAAATTGACTATAGCTTTATAACAATATTCTTTTTTATTGTTTAAAGGGTTTTTAAAAAACATTTCAACGTGGGGGAGGAGAGAAATAAACAATAAATAGCGCACCGCGTCACACAAGTCGCGCGAGATGGAAAAATTTTGTGGTGATACTGGAGAAGATATGTAGTAAATGCTGTAATTTAATTGGCTAATAAATTTATGACCAAAGTCATATGACCTGAAAAATTTAAAATGACCAAATGGCCCTTATCTTTTCTTTTCTTTTCTTTTTTTTATTTTCCAGTCATATGTTACTAGTAAGTCCGATAAGCGTAATAAATTGGTTAAAGTCATTGTAGGAGTAATAATATTTGAACCATCAAATAATGCTTTAATGAATTATTTAAATATTTTATTGACGAATATTTGATTGATACAATAGTCACTTATTCATTATGAAAATTATGAAAATCAATTTTTAAAAAATCAATTTTTATAAAAAAGTACAGAAATAGTTTTATTATTAAATTATTTTCAGGTCTATAACTTCTAATGATTATATAATATACTACACTCTAATGAATATTATTTACTATGAATAGCTCTCAATTTCATAAGCAGAACGAAAAAAAAAAAAATACATATAATAATAATAATTTACAATAAAACTATTTATATAAATTATACAATGAAAATATCTGTGAAAAATGACAAAAAATATAAAATTCAAGCTAAGACAAAACAAAAGAAAATATATTTATGATTTTACAGTTCATCCCTCTTTTCCCTCCTCAAATACACCGCGATGTCAATACAATTTTCGCAATCCATAGGAGAACCTTCTGGGAAGTAAACAGAAATGGAATTCACTGGAATCATTTCAACCCCTCTTTCCACTTTATCATTGTAGAAACTAGTGATTAACTTTTTCGTAGTTATTTTATCATTCATTTTACGAAGTGTAATTTGGTCGGGATTATACTTTTCAAGTCTCGGCCATTTCTTTTTAATTTCCCATTTGATTTTGTCAACGTGTTGGTCGTCGTCAACTTTAACAACACTAACACTTTGGGCTGATGTGTCATTTTCTTCTAGAAAGATGAGACAACGTAAGGTAACTTCGGCAGAATTTGCTTCGTAGCATAGAAGAATTATAAAGTAAAAAAAAATAAAGTATCGCAAATAAACCATTTTTATGTAAAAAGATAAGAAAAATAGAAAAATATTTTTCAAAGTGTGATTAACAAATGTAGAAAAAAAGTTATTCGAAACTTCAATTTTTTAACGAATGTTATTAATTATTCAAAATGTTAACAGAGAAAATGAACAAAAAATGAAATTCCAACTTGCTTATTTATAAATGATATGATAATTATCACGAAAGAAAATCTAGTATAATTTCGGATTTCATGAAAGAAACCTATAATTTTTGAATTTTTTTTTCCGACTTTCATCTTTCGTATTACGCCATCTTATTATGAAAGAAATCTATCATTACGGATTTTTTTTTCCGGCTTTCATAATACGCCGTCTTATGAACATTTATTATAAAATGAAACCTATAATTAACGGATTTTTTTTTCCGACTTTCATATTACGCCGCATTATGTATAAAATTTAATGCGTTAATGCGGTACGTTCCCTTATATAGTTGTAAGCAAAGAGATTATCATTTTGATCGCATCATTATGGTTATCATTTCGGGAACAATGGCTGGGATTGTCCGACAAAATGAACATAGCATTTAAATGAAAATTGTCGGACTTTCGGTATTTACACGGTATTCACATCAATCATTACCTCAATCAGAAATGATAAAGTAAATTTAATTTTTAATAATTAGATACTAAAACATAATAATTTGAAAGCGATCACTTAGCTGCATAGTAACATTACCAATGCCCATTATTTTTGTTTTGCATTTGGCATTTCTAATTTTGCTGAATTTGGAGAACCAACAAAGTGATGGTTGATATCGTATCATTAAAACGCCTTATCTCGCTTCAATTGGCGCAATAATATATTATTATTATTGTAAATTCGTACCTTTACCTATCTCCGTATTTTCGATAGCCGGAGTACTTTAAATTTTTTTTATAAACGGTAATATAAAATACTAATGAAGTTGAATTATTTTTTGTATTCTTCAAATATCTAAATATTTTATATATCTTATTATATTATTTATTATATTTCTATGAATTTTAGACGTCAAAAAAATTTTTTAATTTGCTTTTTTTTATTTTTATGCAGAAATAAAATGAATTATTAATTTAGTTTACCTCTTTAACCGATTTTTTAACCAAAAAACCCGCCGATCATTTCTAATTTCTGATTGAGGTAAAGATTGACGTGATACGATTTTCATTTTAATGCCATGCTTCAAATTGCCAGCCATTGTTCCTGAAATGACAATCATAATGATGCGACCAAAATGTTACAACTATATATGGGAACGTCATGACGTGACCGCATTAACGCATTAAATGTTTATACATAAGACGGCGTAACATGAAAGTCGGAAAAAAAAATCCGTTAATTATAGGTTTCTTTCATGAAATCCGGAATTATAGATTTTCTTTCATGATAATTATCTATCATTTTCTGATTTTCTGATTATATAAATAAACTCATTTCTCTGTTGACATTTGAATAATTAATAACAAACATTCATTGAAAAATTTAAGCTCCGAATAACTTTTTTTCTACAGTTGTTAATCACACTTTGAAAATTAAAATATTTTTCTATTTTTTTCATCTTTTTAAAAAAAAATGACTTATTTGCGATACTTTATTTTTTTCTATTTGATAATTCTTCTCTGCAACAAAGTAAATTCTGCCGAAGTCACCCTACGTTGTCTCATTTTTCTAGGAGAAAATGACACATCATCTCAAAGCGTTAGCGTTATTAAAGTTGACAACGACCAACACGTTGACAAAGTTAAATGGGAAATCAAAAAGAAATGGCCGAGTCTTGAAAAGTGTAATCCCGACCAAATTACACTCCGTAAAATGAACGATAGAATAACTACAAAAAAATTAATCACTAAGTTCTACAATGATAAAGTGGAAAGAGGAGTTGAAATGCTTCCAGTGAATCCCATTTCTTTTTACTTCCCGGAAGGTTCACCCATGGATTGTGAGAATTGCATTGACATCGCGGTGTATTTGAGGAGGGAGAAGAGGGATGAACTGTAAAATCATAAATGTATTTTCTTCTCGTTTTATCTTAGCTTAGATTTTGTATTTATTGTCATTTTTATTTTTCACAGATATTTTCATTGTACAATTTATATAAATAGTTTTGTTGTAGATTATTATTATATCTATCCTTTTTGCATTTTTCTTTTCGTTCTGCTTCTGAAATTGAGAGCTATTCATAGTAAATAATATTCATTTAGAGTGTAGGATATTATAATAATAATTATATAAATAATAATATTAGAAGTTATGAACCTGAAAATAATTTAATAATAAAACTACTATTTATGTACTTTTTTATAAAATTTTTTTCATCGGCTTGCGTATCCGCATCAATCAAATATTCGTTAACTGATAAAATATTTGATTAAAGCATTATTTGATGGTGCAAATATTATTACTCCTACAAATACGTCTTTAACCAATTTATTACGCTCATTGGATTTACTGGTAACAGATGACTGGAAAATAATAAAAAAGAAAAAGATAAGGTTTTAGAGTTTTTAATTAAAAATTCATCATAGCGTATATATAAATTATCTCATGATCAAAGTTCAATTTTGAGTTGGTTGATTGATAAACTATTAAGCAACCAATAGTTATGGTTTTATTTATTTTTGTCAGTATTTTTTTCGACCAAAACGACCTACGTTTTGGTTTGATAGGTTTGTTGATCATTCCAAAATAAAATTTATTGGCCACAAATTTTAATGTAACCGACTAATTAATCAATTATGAACTGGCCTACTAAGACTCAGTACCTAAAATGACCACGGTCATTTTAAATTTTTCAGGTCATATGACTTCGGTTATAAATTTATTAACCAATCAAATTGCAGTATTTATATAATTATGATCCTTCACCACAAAATTTTTCCTTCCCGCGTGACTTTTGTGGTGCGGTGCGGTGGCGCAACAGTATATTTGTTTATTTCTCCTCCCTCCACTTTTTCACGTTAAAATGTTTTTAAAAACCTTTAAATTAAACCAATCCATAATTATAATGTTTCATGAAAAAGAACCGATATACGAAACATGCAAAAAGCGAACGGATATTTCATAATGTAATGTAACGTAAACAATAAAAAATAAATAAATATTTTTGAAAAGCTTGAATGTAGAATATTGTTATAAAGCTATAGTTAATTTTATTTACAATGAAACAAGGTTTGGGTGCTTGAAGAAAGTTATTTAACAAGTATGTATATTATATTTGCCGTTTTTAAAAGAAATTACTGAGTTGCATTTGTTTTTTTATTTTTAGTGTAATTTCAGGACTTTAGCTAAATGTTATGGGTTTAGGTAGCTTAAGCAAGGTTGTTTAGCAGGTATGGAACCGCTCAAATATAAATTTTCTTTAATATTTGCAATAGTATGAATATTTTTGTATGGAAATTACTGTGCCGCGCGCGGTTGATTTTTTCATTTTACAACGTAATTTTGATACTTTTGTTAAGTGAAACAAGCCTTTGGAGATTAATTAAAATTATTAGCAGGGTGTGGAATTATTTAGATATTGATTTTTATTAAATTAGCTTTAATATTACAGTAAGGAATAATTAGCATATTTTACAATAGTACAATAATCTAAATATCAGTAATATTTATTTGTTTATTATTATTAAATTTAATAAAGTGAAAATGATCATTTTCAAGTGTATTTATTGTAAAAGTAATAAAATGATTAATATATTAAAGGGAACTTCTTTTTTTTTTTTTTTTGGCTTTTTTCAACACTTTTTTTTCGATTTTTTTTTTCCTAAGGAATACGTGAAATAAACATTGCGCCAATTAAATTCCAGGAATCCAGGAGCACAAATCACGTGGGTAAAATTTATTTGCCGTCATGCATATGACTAAGGTCATTTTTAAAAGTCATTTAAGAAATTTTTATATTAGGTCGCCTACGATATGAGTATCTCCGTTATTGGTGAGATTATCCGCGCTTATAACTTTTCTCATAGTATTTTCATTATCAATGCCCATAATCGTTTTTAATGATTATTTTTTTTTGTTTCGCATTTGGCATTTCTAATTTTACTGGATTTGGAGAACCAACAAAGTATCGTATCATTAAAACAACTTATCTTGCTTCAATTGGTGCAATAATATATTATTATCTATTTCCGTATTTTCGATAGCCGGAATACTTGTAATATAAAAATTTTTTTATAAGACTGTAATAAATAATGAAGTTGAATTATTTTTTTGTTTTCTTCAAATATCTAAATATTTTGTATACCTTATTATATTATTTATTTTATTTCTGTGATTTTTAAACGTCAAAAAACTTTTTATTTGCTTTTTTATCTTTATGCGGAAATAAAATGATTTATTAATTTAGTTTACCTCTTCTAACCGATTTTTTAACTAAAAACCCGCTGATCATTTCCGATTCCTTTAAATCCGCTTTTACTGTTATTTCGTCATCGATAGCTATCTTACATGGTTACATGTGATATAATTTAGCTTTTATTTGAACTCTCAGTATTAATTAATGTAATACAATTTTCCGATTATCGCTTTAAATCATGTAACAGTTCTCTCTCGTAATTTCCCTTTCCTTTCACTCTTTTCCTTTTCCTCTTAGATTTCGGCGGCTCTTTCAGATTTCTTTTTTTAGGTTTTGTCGATTCTTTTTGAAAATAAGGGTGGGTCTTCCTCATTAATAACACTTTTTTTTTGGTTTTGGTACTTTTCTTAGGTTCGACAACTCTCTTTATGGAAATGTTGGTACTAACCTGTTTTTTGCTTCATTTTTTTCTGTCAATTTTTTTTTATTAACTTTCGTCTAAAAAAAATTTTTTTCTGATAAAAAAAAAAATAATATTTTTTCTAAGGTCTTCGGCTCTTCTTTTTCAGGTCTCAGCAAAATTTTTTTCTTTTTTAGGTTTTGACGGTTCTCTTTGGAAATAAAGGTTAGTGTCCGATTATTTTTATCATTATTTTTTTTGTTTCATTTTCTTTTACTAACATTCATTTGTTGGGAATTCGTGAGTTTCAGTACTTAAATTTTTTATTTTAACGAAGCGTTAACTAATAATTCCTATTTTTTTAGGCGGTTCTTCGTGCTTCTTGGACATATGGTAGTACTTTTTACTTTAATTTGGTCTATCTTACGAACTGTTGACTAACAGTT